TCATCCTGCAAGTCGTGTTAATTTCTGCTAACCCTGTAAATTTCTGTCGAGCTGGGCAGAATGGCTGCGTCAGACCGCGCTCAGGGTTCACGATCGGGTAGCTCGAGCGATTGGATCGCGCGTTTGAGCCGCTCGAGCGATTCATTTGCGAACTTTGGTCGCGGTTTCATTGGAGATTCATCGACATTTTTTTCCGAATCTTGACCAGTCATTATGGGAAGTTCGACAGAAGTACACAAGTTGATTAACATGTGGTAGCAAGGCTCTCAGGGTGTTGACAAGGTTGTGCGCTATTCACATGTATACAGTTTACAGGATTTGGTATGCGGACAAGCGCTTACAGGTGTGGCGCACCCCAAGGTTATTAATGTCAGTTGTCAACCATTCTTGACAGTTTTCATGCAATGATTTGATTTCAGTTGAATCGCCTTTGGCTACGAAACGTATGGGGGCAGTGGCATCTGCCATGCCTGCTGCAAGAAGACGTGACGGCAAGCCGTCATCGTCTCCTGAACGTTCCCGGGCCAAACTCGAGGACGATGCAGCTCCAGTACTAAACACTATAGCCACATCTAAGGTGGCCATCGCTTACTCTGGTCATGATGTTAACTTACAAAAAGTGGGTTTTTATCTGTGTTCTGTTTCTTTTGCCTATAATTTGTCTCATCAGAAACTTGTGTGGGATAATTGACTGGTACTTGGAGACAATGCACGATAAGTTGGTACTTGCTCCAAAATAGCAGCAGGGATTCTATATAGTAACAAAGCCGACATCACGAATTTAAAGCCGAAATCCTGCAAAAAACCTTTGTTCTGCACGGCATTGAAAGAACATTTTGGACGAGTTTCCCGTTGGCATCGTGCCAACAACCGCTTGATAGATACGGCTGCACATATGTAATCATAAATTCACGTAACGTTTCATATCATATGTCTTTATAGGTGAAGCGGTAAACTTATCATTTCGATGTGATTGTACGTCCATTTGTGAAGTGGAGGGGGGGGGGGGTTGCGGTGGGCGTCGGGTTGGTATGTTACACCTCGATTAGGCGGTATAACTTGTGCCGTTAGTTGGAAAAGGCGCGCTGCTTGGGGGGGAAGGCCTAACTCTGTCCTGCTGGGCGTGCCTATCCCATAAACCTTGTGGATTTATCGTGCTACGTGCCTTCAAAATATCACCTAAGCGGTTGAATTATGACCCATGCTACATTAATGCGTATCTGACCATTGAGCAATGTGAGTGAAAGAAACCGACAACCATTGCGATTAGACTCCCATTTGGAGAATGAAGCAGCGTTCAGAATTCGCGACTGCAGCGCCTCGGTCACGCGTTCAATGCGATCGATGCAGTCGAAAGATACACATCGATCGCGTAACGCGCGACCGAGCGCTGCTGTCGCGAAGTCTGAGCGTTGCCTAAATTCCAGGGGACATAAGTTCAGCGCCATGCCGGAACGCGTTTATCTTCTTCTCCGAGTCGAGCTGCGCGAGTCTATGAAAGCTAGAGATGATGCATCTTCCGCCGTTGATCGATCCCTTTCTGCGGTCTGCATTCTGCTTGCATCTTAATTTTATTGGCTTACTGAATGCGATATGGCTTATGCAATGACTTGCAGGGCCAGCCAATGTAGAAGTCCGCGTTTTTTTATTTTTGGAAGAATATAGTATCATTTTTCTTACCTCGGAGGCTAGAAGGCCCGGTTAGCCTCAGTGAGAGCCGCCTGGAATTCGATTCCAGGGCCAAGCGCATAGTCTGCGCACCTCTCGGCATTGCAGTACCTCCGCCAGTCGGTGATTCTTGTCCTTTCTGCTTTCTCCAGTTCTCCACTCCTCTAATTACACATGAAACGCGGCCTCAAACGAAGAAGGTTATGGCTGCTTGAAGTTTGGTCCTGTTCAAAATCCTGTCTACTCCTTATAAGCTGCTAGATGTTCTATTTTGACTGTAGCTCTTTTCAGTACTTGGATATAATAAAATCATGTGAATCTACTGAAAACCCAGTTGATGTGATTCGAATACGTGTAAATGATAAAGTCAAAGATCGACTACAGATGGTCACGTTAAGAAGTCAATGGCCACTCGTATTCATCAAGGTCGGCAGCTTTTTATTTCGACTCTCATCTTCTGATTGTTTGCAGTTTCTTTTTTTCAGGGAGACGCAGTGGGTGGACTAGATGAGCTGAAGAAACTTGCTGACACAAAAGTATTAGAAGAGTGGTTAAAGGATCACAAATATGATTTGATTGTGATCGGTGGAGGCTCTGGTGGTCTGGCTGCAGCGAAAATGGCTGCACTGTGAGTTTTTTCCTCTTTGATCTATTAGATGGCGAGAGGTATAAATTTTTAAGAGATTCCATTTACCGTGGGTTTGTCCAGTATTTTGGTGGCTTCATTGCCTTAATTCCTCTAAAAAGAAGTTCGTCATTTGCTGACAATACCTGTCAACGGTTCTAGTTCTTTTGCATTTCAGAATGTACTCACTCTTTGCGATTTGAAAAGTCCGAGAATTTGGGCAATTCGCGAACTGGGAGAATGCTCAACTAAGGGATAGATGGAGTTCGATTGACACTAAAATTTTGCGAAAACGCGTGTTTCTGATCCATGCAACGACTGTGTTCATACTTCGCGGCATCTTGTAAGAATCAGCATGCCGTGAAAACCGGCATTTTGAGCGTTTTGGGAGAATCGGCGTTTTGGGCGCCGACCGATATTGATGCTCTCGTTTTCGCTCGAATTGGCGATTCGCTCAAAACGTTGATTCTGCCGAAAAAAAGAGTCGCAAAGTGTGAGCTGAGGCTTAGAGAGCGGAGCTTAGAGAGTTCCAGTGTGACTGATTCTGATTCTTCCACACATACTCCTAATCCACTCGTTCCCCTTATTCCTTTTGTGCGTATTTTCCACATTCGCAAAGTATGAACGCGGCCTTAGCGACCAATGATCCAAAAAATTTAATGTACTACTTCTCTCAAAGTATTTCTTTTAGGCATGGAAAGAAAGTTGCCGTACTAGATTTTGTCAAACCCTCACCTCAAGGAAGCACTTGGGGTTTGGGAGGCACTTGTGTGAATGTTGGTTGTATTCCTAAAAAACTCATGCATCAAGCAGCAATTTTGGGACATTCAATAAGTAAGTACATTTTCAAGACTTTTCAACACATTGAACGCTCTGTGCATTGATTTCAATGCACGTTTTCATACTCCCATTCCCCTTTTAAATTGGTTTTGATGCGCGTAGGAGGTTTGATTTTTCAAGGGTTATCGCGCTTATTCGAATTTCTGTTAGAAATTTGTTGTTCGTTCCTCATTTTCATCACAGTCTTATTCGCTGCGGATGAAGGGGCGTGGCGGGCGCGATAGGTTTGCCGCGCAGCCTAGCCCGTTTCCCAGCAGATGCTGTAGAGATCAAGCGATCAGTTCGTTCGTATCAGTCGTTTTCCAGCAATTGTTGTGTTCAGCAAGTGGTGGAGAACGGGTTTGGCGCCGCGCTAAGCCCATCCCACCGAACACGCCCCTGATCCGCAGCGAAATAGAATCCGTTTTCATTTTGAAATCAGTTCGCTTGCGATTCCCTTCGCCTGCAGCGTTCAGTATATTCAGTAGCATTTTGTTTCCCTTTTCTACCATTTTCTTCCAAAGAACTGTTTTTTCTTCTCAGTAAAATATTTATAATGAAGTAGTTGTGCTCTTAGAAATGTTGTGCTGAAGTTTCATTTCAGAAGATGCAAAGATGTTTGGCTGGAAAATACCTGAGGGGGAAATCAATCATAGCTGGGAGAATCTCAAGAATGGCGTCCAAGATCACATATCCTCGCTAAACTGGGGATATCGTGTCCAGTTGCGCGAAAAGCAGGTTGATTTGCATGCCTTTTTTATATTCATAAATCCTTCTATCACCTTCTACGTTTTAGGTTACTTACATAAACTCGTATGGCAGATTCACGGGACCGTTCGAGGTTTCAGCTACGAACAAGAAAGGGCAAGTGGAGAAGTTGACAGCAGATCGCTTCCTGATTGCTACTGGCCTTCGCCCACGATATCCACCAGATGTTCCCGGTGCTCGAGAATACTGTGTCTCAAGGTCGGTGATTTGCATTTTTCCGATTTGTGAGACCTTTTGGTATGGGGGAATATCATTTGATGTCCGAGTATATCGCACCATTAACCTTATCAGAGCCTTTTTTAGTGATGATCTTTTTTCACTTCCGTATCCTCCCGGAAAAACGCTTTGTGTTGGTGCTTCCTATGTTTCACTTGAATGTGCCGGTTTTCTACAAGGATTGGGTTATGATGTAACAGTAAGTGTCGCAAAGAGATATTGAGTTCAGCTTTGGTGGCAGTTCGACTTGGAGGGGGCATCAGATGATGCTGAGGACTTGTAGCACCCACCCTTGTGGTGAACTGAAAGTCCTTATTTACAAAAAGGCTCCCTTTGTAGTAGTTCGTAGCTTTACAAAGGGCACTATTGAACTATTCCTACCCCAAAAACTCAAAAAAAATTTTCGCTGAAACGTTGCCTATAGATGTAATTCGATGCGCTGATCACGAATATCACATCCGTTTTGAGCGCTGGCGTCATTTGGCGCCATTATGCGCCAATTTGGCGCCCACCACTTTTTTCACCAAAGTTGATGAAAACTTGCATATGGGGGTTAATCGACATCCTGATCACGAATATCACACTGGTTTCAAGCGCTGGCTTCAAGTAACCCCCTTATGCAGATTTTCATCAACTTTGGTGATGAAAAAAGCGTGTGCGGCGCCAAATTGAGCGCTAAATGCGCAGATGACACCAGGCGCTTGTGAACGAATGGCGATATTCGTGATCAGGAATTCGAATGTACAAACCTTATAGGCCGAGTTCTTCAGGTGAATAATTTTTTTTTTCCGTTTTTGGGGTAGGAATAGTTCAATAGTGCCTACAAAAGTTTACAGGTCTCATTAAAATGGGACCTGTAAATGAAATAGCAAAAGGATTCGGCAAATCTATAAAATGCTCCTCCCAAATCGAACAGCGCTGTCAACTGTTCTTTTCAACTTTACTTTTTACTGATTTATTTATAGAGAGTGATGTTTTCTTCAGGTAATGGTGAGGTCAATCCTGTGAGAGATTTTGATCAAAGATAATTGGCGGTGAGCGAATCAGGCGAGCGCATATGAAAGAATGTGGAGTTAAATTTGAAAGGCGAGTGTTCAGGGCAACACCACAGCAATAGAGCGGCGATTTTCGGCACGTTCTGCCGTTGGAAAGAATTGGCTGGATACGATCCATCTCGAAATTGACTCGTCTGATACGACCGCATTCCCCACACATCCTGTACCATCTTTCCCAAATTCTTTCATCTTTTCCTAAAGAAATTACCGGTTAGATGCAGGGGACATATCGTTGGGGTATTTTCATCGAGTCCCTACGACCCCCCCCCCTTTTTTTTTGTTGGTGGGAGCGGTTTGGTCTGTTCGAGCGAGGAAGGGGGGGTTAGTTAATGTTATACGCTATTGAACAGGAAGTCACTGAAAGTCAGCCACTACTCTAGAGCACACCAAAGTCCCCCCCCCTCCCATCCCCTCTTCCTCCCTTTACAGCGTCCGTGAAGCGAGAAAAATGAATCAAAATTTTCTCGACCTAAATACCACCCCACCTCTCCTGGCCCAAATACGACCCCCCTGTTGGGGATTCCCCCACAAGGATGTGCCCTTCGTAAAGGGGAAGGTAATATTAGGATTAGCTGAACTAAAAACCGAGAAAACCCAGAATCGGAAAACATTTCTACACCAACATTCCCAACATTTGACTCAACAAATACGACCTTACTCCCTCCAGCGCCCTAATACCCCTCACTGAGAATCATTGACCTGCCATGATCATGGGCTCTTCTATGAGCCAAAAACTAATTTGGGTTTTTTTGGTACCTTGAAATAGCTCTTACTATCGAACGCTTTTCGCTTTGGCTATAACTTGCTTTACTTTTAGCGCTTATTTCCACACTTCGATAGAGAGATAGATGCGAAAACAAGACACAAAGCGGGTGATGCTGGTGTACTCGGCTCGAAAGTATCGGACCCAGACTGAGGAACACAGCGAAGAATTCAATACTGTGAGTTGCCCTATTTCTTTCTTCTTGGATCTTTTCTGTGAATGTGCTTCTAAAGGTCGTAATAATTAGCAATCGGGCGCGAATGCAGATGAACAAGGACTACTTGGCCTATGATGTGTCGGTGTTTAGAGACAGTGCAACGGAAAAGGTGGGCACATGATATTCTAAAGCCAAACGTAGCTTATACTAGTTTTTTTCTCAAATTCAGGCAATGTACGGTCGGAGAACAGTCTCTGACCTGTGCCGTATGTCTTATGCCGATCGGCGACGTTTTGGAAAATTGCACTGAGCTGAGCTGTTGGCTCTTCAAGCTGGTATGCTAGTGAATCGGCTTGTACTTTGCTCAGATACAATGGGTGAGATGTCTTTGTGAAGCTTTCTATCTTCATTTAGATACCAGCTGTCTATCTGCTGTGACATTTTTCACTATGAATGTGCTAGACAAAATTTTTTGACCTCCTTTCGAAACTGGAACAATGGGTCACATGCGGATGAGGGAGCGTCTCCAACAAACCAATTACTAGAGCTGCGTTCATACTTCGCGATCACAGATCGGTTCGTTTTATCGATTCACATCAAATGAGATGAAATGGATTTCCATTTCAATTTTAAGAGTCAATTTCAACAGGCTTGTACCGGAGTACTTGAATTTTAGTACTTGCTTTGAATGCTGTCAAATTTGTGTTCTTGCTCTGTTCTGCCTTTGCTTCTCTATTATCTATCTATTCTATCTATCTATCTATCTATCTATCTCTCTCTCTCTCTCTCGTCGGCGTGGCACTCTATGGTCATTGTGACTTCGCACATTTCCAGCTTTTCACGTATGATAAGTGGCTCACACACCCCAAGTCCCCCCCCCCCTCAAAAAGTTCGTTTGTTCCTGGTTTTCCATATTCTCTCTTTGTTAACGTCTCGAGGCTCTTTCGACACTGATCTCTACTATGTACTGCGTTCTCCTCGGTTTACGCAACAAGCCGACCATGCACAAAAAATTCAAGAATGTTGCTTAAGGCAGCGTCCGCGATCAACAAGTGAAAAACCTCCATTGAAAACTTTAACGCGGAGCGCAAATCACAAGCTAGAAATCCCCGTCGTTGCGGCTCGAAATCGATTAGCTTTACGAGGGCGGAGATCAACAATGGGTGAGCTGACCGCCTCCTTTCTGTAATTCCGCGACCCGATTTCTGGATTAACAGTTATAGTGCTGCTGCATTGATAAAACGCCTTGAATTTCTTAGAGTTCGGGAGTGCCGCGTGACCGCTACCCGCCCGTTGCTTGTGATTGGAGAACTCACCAGAAGTTTGCCGTAAAGGCTCGTTTCAGCATTCCTTAAATTCAGTTTGGGCGATGCTTATTTCACGCTGCTTCCCAGCACCTGATTTTCCTGGTATTTTTTGTATTGAGTGCCTTCATTGACCACCTGTTCTTAGTTAATTTTGACCCTAAAATAGCCAAAGTCCAGTCGCGGTCGCAGCCTGTCGTCTTTTAACCCAAAGCAGCAGAACACATCGTCCATCGGGGCGGGTGGCGTCGCTCGCCACGGTTGAGCGTTACGCAGAAACATAGATAACAGTAAGGTATAGGTTAGTATTTACTGTTTATATTGTTTTCTACCAGTTCGCAGTAGGCAGCCTGGCGCGCTGTGACCGTTATCATAGACTAGGAGGCGAGCGGAGTATTATAGCAAGGTGAAATGGGAAACAAAGATACGTCACGGTAACGAAAATATAGTTTTTTATTTCGCTGCACGAAAAAAATTTTCTTAATACTAGATGATCCCCTTCTCTCTGCATACGAGTGTCGTATGTGATTTTGGGACTATGCGTGTGTTTGGCATCTTCAGTGAGGACAATGTTATATATTTGCAAGAAATTTTTCATGGCAAATACCGCCTCTCTCTTCCTTCAGCGATTCAAAGACGATCCCCGCTGATAGTGGTTATTTAAACAAAGCAGGACACATCACGTTCCCTGATTTCACCACTTTCGTCTTGTCAGCTCGGTGGCTAGCTTCTCATTTTTAACCCTAGCTGGGAGTGAGAGTATTTGTCCTGTCCGTTTTTGGCCTTTGTCACTTCACTTCCTTCTGTTCTTCGGTGTTTTATCCTGGTAGTCCCTGGCGTTTTCGTGATCTTCCGTGGAAATATCTCGCTTTAATTAATAACCCGCGAATTTCTGTTTTTATCGGAATCGGAAGTGATATTCTGGATTCTAGACGGAATACGATGAAGTGCCGACAACAGTGTTCACTCCTCTTGAATATGGATGCTGTGGTCTGTCTGAAGAGGTGGGAGAATTCTTATTTAAAAAGAGTGGGATGTTTGAATGAAGTACAGTAGCTGAAATATCAATTTAGAACGCCTTCGCACGCTACGGAGAGGACAATGTTATAATCTACCACGGTGTTTTTATTCCATTGGAGTACACAGTGGCAGAAAGAATGGATAAAGATCATTGCTATTGTAAACTAATCTGTTTAGCGTCAGAAAACGTAGGTTTTTTTGTTTGAAACTTTTGTTTTCAATCAGTTTCCCGTCATGGAATTGTTTGTCTTCTCTTGTTTTCGTTTTCGCGCTTGGCCCAGTCCACATTCATTTTTCTTGTCGCAAATATCGAATGCAAGGTGATAACGAAAAATTACCAGGATGAACACTTACCCGAATAAAACTGCCAGAATAGTGCGCCTCTCCCAAACATTTCGAACTAACCATAAATGCCCTCCACTATTCCTACCTACAGCATTTAAAATCCGTCAACCGTGACTATTACAACTTCACAGTACTCTATTTTCGGAACTTTAGTTTATATGGAACCCCTGTAACGGCAAAATTTCCCTGTTCCTCAAACAATTGCTGGGCGCAGTTTGTCGACGGGGGGGGGGGCATTTTGCTTTCCATAGATGTGTCGACCCATCTAGGCAGCCGTTTCTCGAGTTGACACGTTTTAGGATAGTGGCTATCTTACTTCAGCTTCACAAGAGTTCACAAGTTTTACCAGAGTGAGATTTGTAAACCGGAACTAGGGAAGCAATGATAATACAAAATGCCCCCCCCCCCGTCGACAAACAGCGCCCTATTGCTGGCTCCACCCTACATTTAGCCCGGTACTAGGACAAAGCGACCCCCTTTCCTACCTTCTCATGCGAACTCGGCACACATGTACAACCTGGGTCTTTATAACAGTTGGCAGGTAAACAGTGAACTGGAAGGTCCCTGTACAAATATTCTAGAACCCGGTTGGCAACGCAACTAACCGTGGTTATCCCGAAGGGGGACAACCACGGTTAGTTGCGTTGCCCAGGCTGACCTTTCATCAAATATTATCACTCTCGAATAACTCAGCATGAATACTGTGTTGACCACTATAAAAAAATTCTTATCTGTATTATTGTCAAACTTGATTGAGGCGAACACCGCCGCCCCATCCTCCCAAGCAGCTTGTATTCTTAAAGCTTCGAATGTGGCACGTGGTATAAAGTTGTATTGGCGAGTAATTTATCGTTTTTGCTAGTGTGTATTCTAGTTGATTGTTCTTTTTGTAAAGGAGCACCTTGAGTGCAATACTAAATAAATAAATAAATAAATAAATAATAGCCGAGCGGCTCGCACGTATGCACGAGCTTGGAATGCGCACTCAATGAGAATAGGTTTTAAGTGCAGATATCCGGTGCAAATGCACATTGCTGAACGTGCGCCATCAACAAACGCCAACTGTGTTCGTGAAACCTTTTTTGTTTCCAAAGCAATTTCATGATATTTTGGCTAGTTGTTGAGAACGTGAACTTCATAGTTCTCTCGAAAACGTTAACCTGCCAGGGGCAATTACTGAATAAGCGCGTTCATACTTTGCGAATGTGAACGATTCATAGCCTGGAGAATGCGAGGATTTTGAGGAATTACGGTAACGGATTACAGCGCGTTCGTACCGCGCGACCGGATCGCTTGGAACGACGCGATACACTTGTTGGATCGACCGCACGGATCGCTCGAGATATTTTACGCGCGTGATCCAATTGCGAAGTACGAACGGGCTCATAGCCTGTTTCATTCTGTAAGACGGGAGAATAGGGGAAAAAGAGAATTGGCGTCCCAAAGTTCTAGAGAATGTGTGCCAATAGAAAGGATAGGTACTGATTAACTCTGATTGCTAGCGGGGTGGAAGAGTAGAAGAATCCTCGATTCGATGTTTTCAAAGAACGTACACTTTCTCAAAACGATGAATTGCTAGCAGCCGAAGTCAATCGATATCCATGCACTCGACTCCTATTTGACGCGCATTATCCAAAAACGTCAGAGCGCGGATTCTCTTAGCAAAGTATGAATGCAGCCTTGAAGTGGCTTCGCACTTCGATTTTGTCGCTCTGGTTGTGCAGTTAAAGCGATCATATCGCTAAGTATGAAGGCCTTACCAGACACCTTCATGGCGTTTTTGGAGAACCTCTGTGCTAACGTATTGGGGGGGGGCCACTCGCCTGCGCGCCGCAGTGATGACTCATCCGCTCTGCTCGCTGCAAGCGATGACTCGTCTTTGTTTCTATGTTCCCTCCGCGGCGAGAGAGTGTTCGAAACAGCCCATACATGGCTCCCGGCAGAACCGAACAGCGGGGAAACGCGGCCAATTCAGGTAATAAACAATGAAGAATCGGCCGGAATAATGTTGAAACAGCCCACAGATGGTTCCCGGCATCTGTGGGAAGATTAAGAGCGGGAAATATGTGGACAAGGAGAAGAAGGGGAAGCGGATATACCGAGTGCAAAGTGACTCAGCTTGTAAATCATGGCTTCTGCTGCTAATCTGCTATCGCTGCGTGATTTCACGCTCATATCAACTTGGCCACAGTTGGCTGCGATGACGAAGGAGGAGTTCGACGACTGGCTCGCCGATCGAGGACTTCTGTGGAAGGATCGCCCATGTCCAAACTGTGGAAACCCAAGGAAGGTCACCAAGCAGGGGGAGCAAGGGGATACAAAGGTGGAAGTTCGAGTGCAACCTTCGCATGCGTGCCGGCGACCTGGTGTGGAAGGAAGGTCCGGTTACTAAAGGGCACGTTTTCGAGGTTCCTTGATGGTGATCGAAAGAAGATCTTCCTGGCCAGCTACCTATTCGCGTACGACCTCGGAACGACGAAGGAGATGGCTCGAACGCTCGAGGTGCAGGAGAACACCATCCTGCAATGGAGTCAGTGGTTTCGAGATGTGCTAGTACAGTTCTACACTAACAACGTGGTGCAGCTGGGCGGACCGAACACCATCGTACAAGTGGACGAAACCAACATCGTTCGTCGCAAGTACAACGTCGGCCGGATCGTTCGAAAGGATTGGCTTGTCGGTGGGATCCAGGACGGGACGAAGCTCTTCTTTGTAGAGATCGTTGACAAGCGCGACGCTGCTACTCTGGAGGCGATAATCCGGAAATACGTTCGTCCTGGAGGCACCATTCGAACCGACATGTGGGGCGGATACAACAACCTCGCCAATCTAGGATATAACCACGAAGTGGTCAACCAAAGCGCCAACTTCGTCGATCCGGCCACGGGAGTCCACACCCAGCGCATCGAATGCATGTGGTCACAACTGAAGGAGAAGATTCGACGACGGCATGGTCTCAAAGGCGACCTTTGGGATGACCATTTCATCGAAGTTCTCTGGAAGTGGCAATACAACAGTGAACATCTGCTGTACGAACTGTGGCGGCTCATCTCGATCCAGTATCCCATCTCCTAAGCATGACTAACCCAACGGCCCTCTTAAGGGCCACAACAAGAAACGAATACTGGTCATTCATCTCAAGTGCTAGTGAATAAATAAACCAGAAATATTTGATTTTTCTGTGAAAAAACCGCTCGAAATTCGATTTTCTAGCCTACAGTTTTTTTTCCGTATTTTTCAGGGTTTTACTTTTCCAAAATAGCATTCTAGGGTGGTTCATATTCAAGTCCTAAACACAATACTGTTATGTTACTCTCGAAGAAGTCCTCGCCGGCCTCAAGCCAGCCACGCAGATGCTATTTCGCCGCGGAGGGAGCATAGAAGCGAAGATGAGTCATCACTCGCCGCGAGCCGAGTGCCCCCCCCCCAAATACGTTAGCACCGAACTCTCTCTGGATTCTCCGGATTCGCCGTTGCCCTGATGGATACTTCAATTGCGGATAAGGAGGATCTGTAGATGCTCGCAGATCCTTCTTGTCCACAAGTTATGAACGCGGCATAAATTCTGTCTTTCACGGCACTTCATATCCTTCAGTGGAGTCGTGGCACAAACTTATGAATACTTTTTACTGTTATTTATTCAGGAGCGGGTAGTCGGCTTTCATATACTGTCACCGAACGCCGGCGAAATTACTCAAGGTTTCGGAATCGCCCTGAAGTTAGGAGGAACGAAAGCAGATTTTGATCGTCTAATTGGTATCCACCCGACAGTCGCTGAGGTTCGCCATTATGAATTGTTGCTCATTTCTTATTTGCCCTTGATATTTATATTTTTTTCAGTGCTTCACAACACTATTCCAAGTGAAGGTGCCTGGTGGCGATCCATTGAAAGCTACGGGTTGCTGAGGTTAAATTTGGTTCCTTTTGTCAGATCGTTCATAAGTGATGCTTAGATGTAATGACACAAGAGTACAGTATATAGTTTTGTTCGCTGCAGATGAAAAGGCGTGCCAGGTGCGCCAAAACCATCTCGCCTTACACGCCCTTTCATCAGCGGTAAATAAGACTATACTTGTATGTGCATTACATTTGGCTGATATGATACGATCTGATAAAGGAACCTGTAGGGGTGGATGGTATTCTGCTTTGTGACGGACGTTGGCTAAACTCATCGAGCGCTGGCGTCCTGATTCGGAATCACCTGAAACCCCGCCTCGAATATTAATAAGAAATGCCTCATTAGTAGTTCTGCCTGTACCATACGTAAAAATTTTTCTCAGTTTTTCTAGAGCTTAAACTTGTCTCAGTGGTTCTGATTTGGCTGCGAATACCGCGTATTAGGGGAGGGGGGGGTGTAAGAGTGTTGTACGGGGTTGGGAAAACGGATTAAGTAACAGTAGACCAACTAGGCTCTAAGGCCTTACTGCTGATATCGTGGCAATCGTTCGGGGCAGTTTCAAGAGAGATGGAAGCAGCCCGCCTGCGGCGTTCCCACCACTGGTTGTTTTCTTCCTAGATCGATCACTAACCGATCACCATTGGTTGAGCAAGGCAGCTGAAGGCGAGCTTTTTCCGCCCCTCCTGACACCCCCACTGATTACGACGTTATCTAGTATATCTATTTGGAAAGGATTGTTGTCTTTGGTCAGATATTCCTCGTTCATTACTTGTAGCGATTTCATTCCTAGTGACTTCATACTTATCCTTTAACTATTTCAAACTCGGTAATTACCCTTACAAGTTTTATGCATTTGCTCATCATGTAACAAACTATCGCTTTATATACATTAGACTATTTTTGAAATAAATATTTGTATTTTGTGGTAATGTGCCAAAGATCAGCAGATGGCCACACTCTCTCATCAGCTGTCTTTTCACGTGTTGACGCGACGAGATGACCTCGACGCATCGAAAACCGCTGGCCTCATGCCAAACAACAACGAATATATCGATTCAAGTGCGAAATAAACGTAGATGCTGCGCAGCCGACCCCCCGAGATACTGTTAATCGCTGGGGTGGTCGTGCCATTTTCTTTTTTTTTCTCAGGTATTGCAATCATCCATACGATTCATGCTTCCTATTGCCCTTACGATTGTCACATTCAGCTGTGTAAACATACATGATTTACAACGAGATATTTGTATGGTGTCAAATATTTTAATATCGATTAGAACTAGCGGGCTGTGATGGCCTATGACTCACTTCAGGATACAGTGCAATACGAGAAATGTATTTCGAATGCGAAGTTTTGTGTTGCACGGGGGGGGGGCACAGAAGTCGGGCTCCCATCGGGGAGAGCCATGACGGAATGCGGATAATAAGAAGGTAGGGGGTCACACATTCCAGGGCCTGGGAAGTCCCATCGTAGTCTAAGTGTTCAGGTTTTCTCTACAGGGATTTGATGATTATTCCCAATCAGGGCACGTCGTACGTTGGGGATCCCTAGCGAAAGGGGTCGTATTTGCCTTTGAGAAAAACTGTAGGTCTAGGTTTGGGTGTATGGAGTTTAGTGTGATGCATTTTAACACGTTGGCGACATTGCGTCCCACTGCTGGGATGCGGCATGGGTAAAAAACCAATTTAAAAACGTTTCAAATTTTCAACAGCTACATATTGTACAGGAAGGCATTGTAGAATATACAGTAGCTGCAAAACTAACAGTTGTGTCATTGGGAGTATTTTACGGAGGATACAAAGGAAAGTGATTTCCTAGGAAAAAGGTAATTTTTGGATAAATAGAACTCAAGCTCCACATGTAGATAGCTAACGTGATAAGGTAACTTTCTACAATAGCAGATCTGGATCGAATCCAATTTACTGCCCTCTGCGCCAAAAAATTCCTTTTTTTTGTGACGGCACTTTCCCCACGCTCCGCGTGTATGGGCGGGATTAGTTCTCACGAATACTTAGATGGGTTCAAATTGAAGGTTAAAAAAACAGCAAAATTTAAAACTAGCTTCTTGCATTGAATACTGAATCCTTCTGCAAAAGTGTTTTTGATGTGTGAACCGGCGCTCTAGGGCCATTCATGCGCAATCCCAAAAATAAGGAAAAACATTGCTCATCGTCCAACGCGGCAGACCACGCGAAAAGGCGCCTTGTCGGCCAAATAAGTTGTTAAACGGAGAAACTAGGTTTTGCGTTTGTGGCACTACATCCCATTCGCCTCCTGCCCCCGTGAACGGGGCTTGCTGTTTTGTTTTTCTCGGTTTTCTGTTTCAAGTGCACTATAGCCCTTCGTCTCGTCCGGCCTTTCATTCCTCGCGGTAGGTAGAGGAATTTGCTGACAAAACCTACGCAAAACGGTAGGAAGTTGGAGAGAACCTATGGTAGATTGTAGATAGGATGAGGACGGGAAAGGTGGTCGTATCATAGGGTGAATCTTGAGGGGGGTAGTACTTTGCCTAAATTTCGTCTAACGGCACGTTTCCCGGTTCCCAATTGCTTTGCCTCCAGTGCGTGGCAAGACAAAACCTTCGAACTATTTGGGTGTTTTTCGAGCTGCGGTGGTGATCTAGTTCTGGCAGCTTCACCACGGTCTTGAAGTATTGGGTCGGCCCATAAGTAATGGCGTTTTTTTCTCTTTAGAAATTATCGCGTTAAAAATGAAAGTTTTATTATTGAGTTCTGTAATGTTTTGCAGAGAATTCCTTTTCCTAGTCGTCTTATTTTTGTGAAGTGAAGTCTTTGTTTCCACTAATTTTGAAGTGCTGACTGGAGTGTCAGGTCGACTAATTTGAGTACTTTTGACAACCTCTCTTCTTTAATCCTGATTAAAAAAGCTGGAACCACACGGGCCCATTCGCTGAATATGTGGCTAACAGGCTAGGTCTCTTAGGAATACTTACAACGGTTCAAAGCTATTCAAGATTTCAAGGTCCGACCTCACAGGCAAGCATCAGACCTAATGCCCTATTGAGTGCAATGGCATGAGATTCCCGACTCCCACTTGAGAGCTTACTGAATCACCTCATGCCAAAGAATGAGGAAAGACAGTTTAAGTCATGCAATCAACGAGCTAGTATTCAGACATAAAGAATTTAATGTGAAATAGACTTCTGCAGACTGTCGCCCCCCCCGGAGCCGCCCCCAGGTGACGAATGCACGCTTGGACCGCGCTGACTTTGGCTGTGGAGCTTCATTTTTGAGGTGAACCTATAATCACCAAAATCCGCTGAGAAAACCTGTATCATAGATGGTAATCCTAACATTCTGAGTTACACAGATCGACATGTCGTATCCTTTGCCTCTCTGGCTAAAGCTGAACCACAGAAAATAACGTAGTGCCCTCACTAAGGGCAGGGTAAGAAATGAATTATTTTAATGACCAGGAATGCCTAGATATAACCGCCTATAATACAATTTTTCAGCGGAAATTTGGTGGTCTAGGATCACTTCAAAAATTAGGCTCGCCAGCAAAAGTCAGGCGTCAAAACATCATTAGCCCCTCCCCCCCCCCCCCCAAGGGAGCCCCCCTTGCGACGCGCATTTACAAGTCCAAATTCCCATCTCCATCGCTTAGAGCAGATTCGAGCTTTTGTAAAAAAACATCTTCCCTTTGGTGTATAGTTACAGCACGTTATGAACGTTTCTTTCCGTAATTTGAAAGCTGAAAGATAAAAGTGCAAAAGTTATCACTCAAAACTCACCTTTCTGGTCGATTCCGAACACGCCATTTCAATGGAATTAAAATGGACGGAAATCATGAAATAGTAAAGAGACAATTACACTGCCTAATAGAGCGGAAAACTATCTATCAAGCAGTGTAGAACACATTGGAAACAAACGTCATTTTTCATATAAAGATTTGCGTGAGGAAAAAACGCCATTATTTATGGGCCAACTCAATACATAGGTCGATTTAGCCGTTATGATGGTTCCCAGCTAGATTTGACTCAAAACTATCTTCCTCTTTTTCCAGGATACTATGTTGTCCTTGCTCTCGTTAAGCTGCTTGTTACCTTCAAATTACTATTCATTTCAATGGCATTCATAGGCATAATGACTTCGCGGGAAGGGAAAGTAATGCTATTTCGTTTTCTCCGCTATCCTTCCTGGAAAGAGACCCGGTTGTTAGCTCTGACGCTCATGAGAATCTCAATGTTGTCCCTTATCGAAACCTCTCCTTTATGTCTAATCGTGCTTCCTTCGGTGGTCAACGAGGCTGCAAATAAGGATCTTGGCGCACTTTGGTTTGGCGGGGGCAGCAACTGTAGTTAGCGAAAATAGTTCAGGACATTTTGTGAAGACCTGAAAACTCCTGTGATCAGGTTTCTCACATTGCCATTTCGCAGCTTCACATAATTCAACAGGTCTCAAGAAAATGTAATCTGTTCATGAACCCAAAAGAAGCAAAAGTGCAAAATGCCCCTTCCACCCAAACAGGGCCAGGATCTTTATTGGTCAAAGAGAGTGGAGGATAGTTTCTTCATTCGACTTGATGTTTCAATGCTTTCAACTTCTTCAATCACATGAAGGACAGGGCGCCCTGGATATGGAAAATCTATGCTAAATAAGACCCCTCCCACATTTCCTTCTGCAACACGATCTCCGCCAAAAATACCGTAGAGAGAGAGAAGGGAAGGGGGGTATTGTAGACAGCGTACGTAGTCGTTGTGAGAGGCTTCCCCCTATCCGGTCTTGATCGGGTCAAAATACGAACTCCTCCTTGTCAAGCGAGCGACAACCCCTGGAATTCCCCAGTGATGGTGTGCTGTGTTGAAGATGGTTTAAAGCTCTTAGTTTACTCGCTACTTGATCGAATTAGTTTCTGTATTAGGCATTTTCCGATTCTTCCCAATCCCCTAATTTCCTGTACGAAGAAGGCACTAAGGTGTGTAGATCTCCTTCCCTGAAAGGTTCAACTTCCTCCAACCGCCCTTTAAATCTCTGGAAAAGACGAATA